GTTGAATTAGAATTAGGGCTTTTGGTCACCACCTCTAAGTGAACTACCAGTGGTGCACCAACCCGCTTATAGCCCCGGATTCGTTATAGACAGGCATAGTTCTGATACTGCTTTCTCAACTGTCTTATTCGTCTTGACTTTAAATAGGAACGAATGAAAGACGGAGAGAGCATTGCACCCCAGTATTTCATTACCTTTTTTCATCTTTTTGTATTTTCACTTCCTTGCATTGAATATGAAAATGTGCAACTTTCAGGGAGAAGGTAAGCCGTGGTGATGGCATTCGAATACGTCCTACGAGGAAGTAAGTTGTTGGCGTTACCGCCGGGCNGGAATGAATTGTATACCTTTGGTAACTCAATCTCTCCGGGTATCTTTGTCGGTTGTCTCTCTGATTAGCCGTTTCCTGCTTCTCGAAAGATAAGATTTGAAACATAATGCAAATGGCAGTAAAGACCTCAGGTCATTCCACATTTCTGGACTTCCGATTACAAATATCAGTTTATCTACAAAAGTTTGTCATCCTTCAAGCCCATTCCTTTATTCCATTAATTTGAATGGAAAGAAAGAGGTAAGTCGAAACTACTTCGAAATAGCATAGGATGGATTCTATAAACCAGCTAAAATCAGCTGACCTTGATTGTCCCTAAAAGAGGAACGTCTCCCATGCCTAATTGTTCAAATACATGTGATGTGATACACAAGTGTCGCATTGTAGGGATTACATTTTGTCAGCTTTCTTCAAGCCACTCCAGGCGCAGTTGCGTTGATGAAGAAACCACATTTCTTAGCGGTGATATCATCACCATAGACATTTTGATTGCTGCCACCCTAAGAGCATAAACTACGTTGTGGCTTTAATGGTGGTAAAACAGAAACCAAACGGAACCTTCAAAATCAGCACTAATCGGATCTGAATACCACCACCAACACCACCAGAAGCAAAAAAAACTCACATCGACTGAGCAAGACCCATTGATGGTAGTGGAACCCGTAGTGAGTGATTTCTCACAAGAGGATATATACACGTACTCGCACGACAAATTACCAAGATATGCCACGGGATTTGGCACTTGAGAGATTGAAGAATGTCACAGTGCAGAATTAGGTCTCTCGTTCCCAGTAGCCTGCACTTCAATAGGTGACAGTGAGCTGGGTGTGCTGAATGGTATTCAATCAGACATCCTATTGGGAATAAAATAGTTCATGAATGCATGTTAACTCTGATCAAGTCCGAGACCTTCTTGGACATCTGGATTTGATGCCTGTAAAAAACTGACATAGAGATACACTTTTGACGCTAATTGGCGAATAAAAGCCGTATGCTAATTTTTGTAGTGATAAAAAACACCAGGATAAAATGTGTACAAAACAGAGTGTGAAGCCAGTTGTACGCAGTTAATTATTTGGTCAGAATGGACATCTGTATAACGCGTGTAAGCAAGGTTCATCGAGATCTCTTCATCATTTACGGAAACAGGATTGCAAAAGGTCCAAGTAGGCATGAATTATGGTGCACACAATGAAATGTACTGTGATTACCTATCGAACCTAGATGAGTTTCTTTCACGTTTTTTGACATTGAATTAAAATAAAAACCCCTCAAATTATTTGGTATTTGACCCCAGTGTTGTCTTCTGAGGCAAATGCATCAGTGCAATGCATGCATATTCAGAAATACATCTCTATTTGTTCATTATTTCCATCAGTATTTCGTGCACTGATTTTAACCGGTTCTCTTTCTCACCACAACAATCTGTCCGTGATGAGTTTCCATATAATGGAGATAAACGAGTCAATTGTTAGCCACCTGCATTTTCCCCATGCTTGAAGCACAATAGACTATTTCATGCACCGGTTCCGTTTAATGAGAGTAAGAAGAAACAACATGGTAACAGAATTGGTTGAATTCCAGTAATCTCACCAGTCATACATTGAGATCACGTTTGGTTACAGCAGTGAAAGCTTGAGGGACAACGAAGCTTACACGGGGAAGAGAAATCAATCAATACTAAACCTAACCGGACAGGGACAAGGAGCGTAACCACCACAACAGTCAAAGTCACACCTACCAGGGCTGCACGAAGCCAACCACGAATTTGTTCTGTTTATACATATCGGTTTTGTAAGGTCGAATCTGATGAACTACCAAGAAAAATTTGAAAAATCAACACATCCTGTGCTCCTGAGCTTCTTCTTAATCCATAACTACAGAATATGTTAAATACTATCTTATACTACGTTTGACCATAGGTGCTTTTTCTTTGGCTAGATGGTCATTGAGTTCCAGAAATTAAGTTTGAATACATAATGGTTGGTATGTCATGATATGATGATGTCTCTTCAACAAGAGCACAACTCGATGTTTTGTTTAAGTTCATTTTACTCGATTTCGCGTGCTATGTTTCGTCAAGGTGTGTTTCTTGTGCATTATTCCGAGGATACACATGACCTTTCGATACATAGATAACAGTGAACACGTACGATTATACATGTACATCTGAATGATAACTCACCGTGAGTTTTGCATGTTCCTCCAGGGACATTCCTTCTGAAACACCGAGCAATTCAGCCAACTCAGATTGTTTTTGACTAAGGTACTCTAAATAACGCTGTGTGCGGTTGTACAGCTCCATCTCGTCCATCACAGCTGGTTCGGATTCCAAATTCACTTCATCCCTGGGTCTCGCAGAAACAGTGCTAACCCCAATGGTCAATGGCGATGATGACCACTTTTCGGGTTGTGTCATTTCACTGTACGCTATACCCAACTGTCCCAGTGCACGAATCAGACGCTGTGCATGAGACCGCATCCGTATGGGTGTAAGAGATAGAACATCAGCGAGCACGGTATCTTCATCACCCATTTGTACGTTAAGTGTAGTCCAGTTAGTACCAGTTTGCTTAGCATGTCCGGATAGGATCGGACGACCACGTGCGGAATTTGCAGGTCTTTGTGTCATTTTTGGTGCTAATTGCGTGAGCTTTTCGTGAGAGATTGGGTGCGTTTTGTCTTCGGCGACCTGAAAATTCCATGCCAATCCAGGGGCTACAACAGCTGGGATATATGTAATCGATTGTGCACCAGGTGTTGTGGGTTCCAAGGGTTCTATGCTTGTAACTAACATTTGAAGAACAAAACCCAAGGGAGCGTGCAAAAGTAGACGATAACTATGTCTACCTGGTGGTAAAAGAAGAGATAATGCTCGAGTGCCGGTCACATCCAGCCGTTTAACAGGTTCTCCCAGTTGATTTTTCAACCAGTGTTGAGTCTCGACGATAAGTGTTGCAGCAGCCGGCGGTGGCATAGTCACCCTAATGGCCTCGTTTGGTGTTTGACCGGGTGGTTCTGTTAAAAAGCACGAACAATACGGACAGTAAATTTACACTAATAATTCAGCATGTATCTAACGAAATATTCTCGGGCTATTTAATGTTATACACCTACAAGATTTCCTTAAGTTCGCTTTACCACTTTCCCTAATCAAACTACCTAAGCGTGTACAAAATAAATCCGAGTACAACTTCTAACTAGGTGCTCATATCATCAAATATTTGGGATAGAATCTGTTCCCGTTTGAAGCTGACTGAGTTCAGTCCCGCTAAGATATTTGTCAGTAGTACCAGGGTATGCTAACCATCAGTGTGCCCATTCCCTTCCCCAATTAACATCTAAGGGGAACATCGGAAAAACCAAAAACCACGAAGTGTGTTCACCTTAGTTCATTGAGTAATGATTTAATTAACCAAAGTTGATAAGAAAACTATGCAATACAAGCAAGGACAACTGATTGTACATTCATGATAAAATTAGATCCTGATTTTAGAGCAGAAAGCTTGCATTAGCCCATTCATCTGTTGCGAGGCACCGGCACTCTTAATGTTCTTGGGTGTAGGTATCACTCCTTGGGAAATCGTTAGATCCTAATTGGCAGATCTGGAGTTTTTTATGTGAATTATGAAAAGTTCAGTAGCCTCGGTGGGTTCCGGAAACCACGCATGGACGCCGTCTACATTTTTGGACAGCACACGCTCTATCAGCTGAGATACGAGGTCACACCAATAGCACTGATCATTTCATATTCGAATTACCCATCCAACTTACATAGACATATGGCATTCACCAGTTAGCAATAAGCTGACTGTCCCGACAGGCTTACCTGAGAATTCACTGGAGTGCTATCGGTGTGGCCTCACAATATAAGCTGTACAATGCGTAGGAGGCGTCCATACGTGGATTAGATCCCAATTGACGGAACGCGTTTTCAGGCTTATAATTTGCATGTCATAAACCTTATCCGGGACGTATTTGCATGCAGCAAATATGAGAATGGAGCTTGTGATGCTTTGATTCTATGATACTTGAGATTTCTACCCGACGCAGACAACACTGGGTCGAGTGTTTATGAATGAAACGTGGCTTTCAAATGACGGATCAACCCTTTATAGATAATCTTGCGTCATCAAACTCCCAGTTAAGTAATAATCGGAAAACGAAATCTACGCATCGGTTCTTAGGACGCGCCAGCTTCTCTTTGGACAGTAACAAACCGAGACAGCTTACAGACATCTACACACAAACGCCTCCGATTAGGAGTGCTTTTCTCTGTATAGATACATTTGATTACTTTTTACACCCCAAAGTTTCCCGGTCATTAGTTCTCAAAGGTGGTGCACAATAGTCATTATGAATTCTAAAGAGAATTGAAGAAATACATGCCCTATGTAAACGTACACATATCACAGGGTCAAACGAACTGATGAAACAATAACACGAAACAATCAGCAGTAACGTAGCCATGGTCAACTTTCTTTCCTCCGCAGCCAATCGTTTTCCATTACGTCACTGTTTCTATGCTAACATTCCCCTTTTTGCTGAATTTTTGTATTCGTTATCCCCTCCTGCTCTTTNCACCCATACTCAAATGACTTTGGTAATGACACAACAACCCAGTTCTTTCTGCCTGAACCCATGAAATTACGTAAATGTCCACATATGGTATTGTTCTTATAAAATTCGACCTATTTAATGTGCGTAGACAGCTCATTGACAGCACGCGAAGTTGATGGCCGACATCAATTCTGCTCATATTGTGTTACTTGTTTTATTCAGATATCAAACTTTGAAAGTTTGACATCGTATCGACCTTCAGGAAAACTTCAGAGGGTCACACAGAGTCAAATAATGGCTGCTAGTAGACATCTGAAATGCTTTGCTTTGAAGGAATTTATTTAATTTAGTAAGCACCCGCTGAGGCCTTTGGTCTTCTTTTGCTTGGAAAATCGATTCCCTGTCATGTGCTTTTATCTTT